GGAGGACGTTAGGAAGAGGAGTGTACTTTAGAGTATATAGCTTGAGCCTGCGGCCCTTCACGCCATATACCCTTCGGGAGGTCGGCCGCAAGGGCGGTTGCGCCCTTGCCGCCTCGGCGTTAAATACAACAACAACAACAGGTCCTATCGTACCTATTCTTGTTGGTCCATCATTGGGTGATGATTTTCCACACATTTTGGATTGATGTAGGCATACCTTCGTCTGCAGAGAAGGCAGGTGATGCTGTCGGCTGTGGTCGAGGGAAGAACGGGGGATTCATGCCTGCCATCGGCACGGTAGCAGCCGTGTTCTACGACCGAAGGAAGTTGGGCCCAGTCATTCCTTAGAAGTCACGGCGGCACCTTCTGGGAACAATGACGAAGAACAGCAACTACGGAACAGCGTGCCCCTTCGCTGGGAAACGCATGAGACTCTCGTGATCCCTCGTCTGAGTTCCCATGTGCTTTAAGCACTTCGCGACGGAGTCGCTCAGCTACCTTTGTACACACCGCCACGAGAACAGTGATGAGAAAAGCAATCGCGGAGCGGCTTCCCCTGTGTATCCACGGAGAAACCATAAGACTCCTAATTTGCTATTTCTGAGTTCGCAGGTAGTGGTAAATTTCTTATTGTCTCTGAATTTTGTATGGTGTTGGAATCATAGGCCTTACGTTCGATGCAGTCGCCCTCGTCACTCCTGAAATGAGAGTCGTAAGTCTTGGATTCGGTACCGTATGTATTATTATGTTATCTGCGTTCACCACTGAAAGCTCTCCTCGAAGTATTCTATGCGGGGCTCAGAAAATACCATCCTGACTGCGACCGCGCGTCTACTTTCATCCGCCATCCTCCCTGGACCACTTGCGACTACCGCCAAACTACCCTCCTCTCCGGTATTTAAGATGGCTTGAATGACTTTTTCAACGTTTAAACTGTGAAATTTCCACTCCGCGAGGCGATATGTGGCCTGATCGTCAATCCTTCTGTTGTCCATGGTAGTCACATAGACGTGAATTTTTACCTGCCCATAACTTGAGATGTTCTTCAACTCGTGAGTGAGTACGTCGACGGCCAATCCCACCTGTCGTATTGCCCAGTGAATTTCGATTAGCTTGGGTCGGGAACAAGACGTTGTGAGTTTCTTGAGGTATGAGAGCGGTACCGCAATCCCACTGCCCCCAACCACAAAGAGCACCTTGCTGAACCGCTCCAGAGGGAGGGCCTTTCCGTACGGACCGTCAAGCGCCACAAGTACTCTGGCTGGCTTTGATTTCTCGGTCTCGGCGTAGTCCTTCAGCCGCGAGGTGAAGCTGTCGTATGGTCGAATCAAAAAAGTCATTTGCCGCCCGGACCCAAATGTTCTGGCTCTGGTGTCCTCGGAAGAAGCGGCCCTGTGGTCTAGAAGAGGTGAGCTCTCTCCCAACGACTCGCCGCATTCAGCTGACTCAGATACTGACGCCACGGTGAACGGGTGGCTCTCCCAAAAGTTCCACTTATTCAGCACCATGAGATAGTAAAACGTGCCGGGTTCAATGGTATAAAGACTCGAGGAGATTGGGACGACGACTCGAATCATGTGAGCATCCTCGTTGTAGGTGACCAGAGCCCATGCGTTCCAGAACCGTGGGCTGAAGGCCACGATCTGAGCCCCGCGAATGACACGGTCTAATAGCCATATCATCGCTGGAACCCATACAAGAGGATCGTAATCGCCTTTGAAAATCGAAACATGCCTTCAAACGTTGTCAGTTTGCCGTCCCTCGTCCGGTTGCAGCACGGAACTAACCCTAGCATTGTCATGAGTATCAAGACTGACAGGGCAATGTGAAGCATAAGGAAGAGCTCGTATTGTCGACGCCGAAACCAGAAGGCGGATGAACCAACAAGCAAGCACATAAGTATTGTGGCCTATCAGAGAGTCAGCTGCGCGGAAACTAGTATTTGGCGAAGTAACTCACCATTTCACCCGTCCACCAATAGGTCAAGTTACACATTCGCCAAAAGTAATCCCAACCGCCTCCTGAGAAAGATCAGTAACGATGCGTTTCATGACTTCACATATGATCTTACTCCGGAAGATGAGAACTGTATAGCCTATAGAGTGAATTATGGCTTGCAGGGTCGCGACCCGGGCTACCCAGCGGTGGAAATTATTGTATGTTTTAAAGCCCCAGCCTGTGAGCCAGATGACGAGATTGTTTCTCATCCCGAACAGCCAAATTAAGGGAAAGTTGGCGAACGACAAAACACCAGTTCTATCGGAAACATGGCGGAGGACTTGCATCGTGATGGAAGGATAGCTTCGAGTCCTTGTCGTCAGTATCAACTGAGATGACACGATCACGGTGCTTGGAAGAACTCACAAGCCGTAACCTTCAAATATTCTGTACCCGCAGACGGTGCACGTCACATTAAGGAGCAGAAACAGCATCAGTGTCAATGTCTGCACACGTGGAGGTAAGGTACCCCAGCCTCCGAAGTCCTGCACACAGCGCTGACCAAACGTCGCTGGCGTCAGAATCGTGCGTTTTAGCCATAAGCTGCTGGGATGTCGGTGGGCGTGCGATTGCGCGAAAGATGGACCCCAGTGCATGAGTGCTCGGTTTGCCATGCCCACTGTGATGATCACCGCCCAGAACATCCCCATCGCCCAACCGTAGTTGAAATGCTGATTCCAAATGTAATCGTGTGCGTCCTGGTTCGGGGTGAGTGAGCTGTCTTCTAGATTTCTAGGATGAGTGTTTGCAGTGAGGAAGTAACTAACCAGCGTCCGGGCCCAAAGTTCGTAGTAGGATTTTGACGGCAACATGAGCACGTTAACGCGCTGGGCACGGTCTGGACTCGTCTCATTGAACCTGGCAATTTGAGCGATGTCTTCGTCTGTAATGTTATTGATGATGTCGCGTGGGGGGAAATGTGAACCGTCCATGTCTTGACATGAACTGTTCAGGCTCTTGGACTCTGCAACCCAAATCTCTTTGGAGCAATACAAATCCCAGCATAAAAACAGTGATCGCTGGTAAAAATGGCTAGTGCACTCTTGCACGGCAAAAAATGCCTCAGTCGGGGCATCTGAAAATCGCAGCGTCCGGAAGGTCTTTCGACAGGCTGTCCCGCACAACCTGCCGTACGCTTCGGACGCAGCTGCTTGGGTAGCAAACAAGAAAATTATGACAATGTAGCATACTTCAATATCCAGCTGCCAGTATCTCATTTTTACTGAATGACCCAGAATGCTTTACAAGTCGTGGTCTAAGAGGTTGGGAACCAGAAATGTGGCGGGTGAAGTATTCAAACTCAGGGCGGATGAGCGGGTATTTATCAGATGATCAGATAACGAAGGCTTGTGGGCCCAACACATCACGTGTGCATCACTCAGCTAACGACACCCCTTCACAGTCATTTGTAGGACTCAATGGGTAAGTGATATCGCGCAATTCATTTTGCTGACATTGTTTTATGCGTTTTCGGGGTTAAATTTGATCTCAAGTGAGGATGGAAACTCCATGTTCGTATGACACGAAACCACGAAACGATGGCTTCAGATACTTGCTGTAAACAGGCTTTCAGTGATCACAGGCGGCAGACACCGGGTGAAGGCGACTGGGCAGCTACTGGGTAGTGCTAGGACATTGGAGCTGACGTGACAGGAACGCTCAGAAAGCGTAAAAACCACCAACAAAACAATACCATCTGTTGCCTCGGTTGAATGAAGGACTGGCCTGATAGAGTGTCGCATGGCAGCGACATAATTATTTGTGTCTTATTGAACAGATCTCAGTGTTTCTCTTAACAAATCCACCCTCCTACAATGAAATAGATCCTGCGATTGCACCAGTCCTCCTGTCCGTCAAACGATTTGCCAATCATCCACCATGTCCAGAAACGCGTGGGAAAATCCCATTCAAGCATAAACTACTTGCGATACAAAGCCAGCACTTTCTGCCAGAATGTTGCGCGCTCTGGCTCAGTAGTGACTGCTTCGTTCGCTGTGCGCTGGTTCGGGACGTCAACGACCTCGCCATCGAGGCCCTTATTGTTGACGGCATTTTGCTGCTTGCCGAGATAGAAGTTGGGCATGAAGAAAGAGGCAATGAGAGGGATACAAGACAGGCAGATGGAGGCGATGGTGATGTGCCCGTTCACAATAGCGTAGGCGCGTACGCCACCCTGACGAATGGGGTCGCTGAAGCTGTATTTCTTGAGCGTCTTGATGTTGCCGTATATCTTGGTAATCACGCTGCTCGAAACGCCGGGCATCTCCTTGTGCATCTGGTCAACCATCTGCTCCGTCCAGATGCTTGTCGCAACGGCGCTGCCAATGCTGGATCCCAAGGTAGACCACAGGGTTATGATGGAAATAAGCGAGGCCACATCGTCGTGGGGAACGGAGGCTTGGACACCGACGCGGGCACCGACCACATTGAGGGAGGAAAGACAAAAGATGAGCTGTGCAGCCACGAGGCGAGCTGTATCTTGAGTCATTTTCCCGCTCGGTTGGATCAGGAGACCATAGCCAAGGATTTTGGCAGCAGCTCCGAAAATCATGAGACTTTTGTAGCGATGGGAGATACGGTGAACCAGACCGACGACAGGTCCAACCAGACACAGGCCCATAGTGGTTATACCAAGGAAGATAGTCCATTGATAGGTAGTCCAATCTTTGATGATGAGGATGTATGACGAAAAGTAGGTGTTGCGAACGGATGAAGCCATCTGGTTGAAAGTATGAATAATCACACCCGCAATAAAGGCGCGATTCTTTAGAATACGCTTCGTCATCAAGGGCTTAGGAGCCACGAATACTTCGAAGAAGACGAAGCCGACGAGGATAACGAAACCTATGACGATCATGGCGATCATACTAGGGTTCTTCCATCCGCCATCAGCGCTCTTGGCCAGGGTAATTGGCAAGAGAATGAGGGAAAAGGCAAAGCCGAGGAGGATAAGGCCGATGATATCGATATCAACCAGGCCGCGATACGCAAGCTTGGCCCAGTACACCAAATTCTTGGGCGTCGCTTCGGAAGTGCCGGTGCGAACATTCTTGGAGTCGGCCATGGTGACCATACCTGCCTTCTCCCCGCGGCGTTGCATGGCGTAGAGGGTCATGATAGCGGGGACCAGAAGAACTGGTACGAGAATCGCAAACATTCCCAGACCCCATCTCCAGTCGTCGTAAAATCCCTCAGCAATAAACCCATTAACGGGAACCGTCACAATGAAGGGTAGAGATAGGCAAGCGCTGAAGAAGCCACGCCATTCTAGAGGGGTCAAGTCGGCGACAATAATGTCACTTAGAAGATCCAGGCCCGACTTGCCGACGGATGTGAAGCAAATACCGATCGTATAAGATGTGAAGGTATGTGCGCTCGCCGCAACAACAAAACCTACGGCGTAGAAAGCAAGGATCACGACATATGTTGTAGGTCGCGACGTGATATCTGCTAACTTTCCGATAAAAGGTTTGCTGATAGCACGAATAATCTGGCTGGCGGTGTTGACGGTACCGAGTTGGCTGTGGACTTTGAATGTTGACGCCGCTAACGTGCCGAAGATCGTGGTCGTAATGCCCATGTCCAGGGCGTAGGCGAACATGGTGAGGCCGACGGAAGCACCAAGCAGCCAGAGCAAAACTTTGCCCTTTTTGCCGGAATGGTAGAGAACCTTATTGAATGCCTCGACCCTGCCAACGCCAATGGCCTTGGGGCTCTCGTCGTCGGACGCGACGTAGTTGGGTTTCTCAGTCGGCTCGAACATGTCCTCGGTTGCGGCGTTCTGCACGGGAGCGTGCTGGGGCTCGGGGCCCTTGGGACGTTTGTCGTCGACAGCGGGCGTCGACATGTTGGGCAACGCGTCGAGCAACTGGAGGTTCCGAGATGAGGTCGAGACTACACAGAGGTAGAAAGGACAATGAATGCCAGCACAGCAAGAATACGGTGGGGAGAAGAAACAGATAGGGAGGCAAGAGCAGAGAGGACAGAAAACTCTGCAATCACAGCGATACTTGATCTATTGTCGCCTCGCCTGACTTTTTGGCAGTGGAATCTGGAATGGCGCAGTAGGCCGCTGATCGAGTTGCCCCCCACTGCGAACCGAAGCGAAGGATTCCCTTAGACAACGAACAGTGGTCCGTCGTCGGGGTTAAGAATGTGTAATGGTTTGACGACTCGACCCGGTGGGTACATCTCACGGGCGACATGCCTAATGGAAAGATTTTCCCGGTAGGTTCCTACGCCAGTTGAGGCAGAACCAGCAGCACACCTAGACCCATGCGAAGAGAGACAAGCTCGGTTTTCTTTTTTCCGAATTCTTTTCAGACCCTTGCACGTATTATCCACTAAAAGTGCACCATGCCATCTAATCAGGTGGCTATATTTTAGAGTGAGGGGATCATCCCACTGGCGGGTGGGCAACTGCGGAGACTACCCATTTCCTTGGCAAAGTACCCAGTGTGATGGGACTGTGCATCTTGGTATTTACCATTGCTATTCCATTCGGGCGACTCGAAGTCTCTGAGTCTAGGCCGAAATCTTAGGAAGACGGGATCCTCTCCGAATGCCCTGAAGGCAGTCGCTTCTCCGAGACATGTTTCTCGACACATGAAGATGGGCATCTGTCGGAGCGGGCCAGGCGGCTAGCACCTTGGTACTGGCTTCACGTTTTCATCTCCCTAGTTCCATGGTGGCCTTGGCATGACAGGGTTGCTCAAGGGCTGGTGCCCGGAAAACGGGATGGGCGTGGTGGCCAAAACCAGTAGCTCGTACCAAGCTGACGGTTTGCGTGCCTAGTCCACTAAGCGGCTCAGGCGGATACGGATGAGCGGAATACTTTTGATAATGATTGTTATGTCTATGAATTACCCTGTGTCTTTGAGAATATAGACGTCCTCGATCAGAATTCGGCCCTCTGTGGACTTCGCGAGTCTAAGAAGAGCAATACCCATGGGCGATCGTTAGCTTGCGCTCGGTGGACTCTGGTCAGTTTCCTCCCAAGACTCACAAGTAGTCTTGCCCGCGACAATCCGGCCGACAATGCCGATTTGCTCACCAGAACGGATATCAAGATTCAAGTTCTTGAGCGCCAGACTCAAGCCGGGTCGATAGCTGAGCCTAAACGATTGAAACAGGATACGCCCTTTGCTTGGCTATCTTTGGTTTTTGAGACGCTTGTCTACGCGTTTGACGTTGTGTGCAGGCTTTTGTTCGATATTGTACGCGTAGTAGAGCATCCTCTTCACCGAGTTCATGTTGTTCTCAATCCCGGCGCTAAAGCGAATAATGTTGCCAAATGCAGCTTGGGCAGCAAGTATGCATGACAATGCTCCATTGCACCAACCGCTTTCAAGATCGTTAGTCCAGACAACGATTTGTCAAAGCGCTCATAGATACGAGTCCCATGAAGGCTGTTGAGACGGCGCAGTTCTCGTGCAGAAGGGCGCTGATACATGCCGGTCCAAACGTAGAGGAGCAACATACTAGTAGCAATGGCTACAAAGATCGACAAGATGTTGAACACGGAGAATGCGATGGGGGCCATCAGCACGTCTGAGAACGCTGCAGTGAAGACGGTTGGAGCACCAGAAGCAGAACAGGGCGAAGAAAGTGCTCGTCAAGAATGGTCCAAGAGACTGCTCGAGGCCCCACGCGGCGTGACCTCCCATGTATTGGCTCTCTTATATCGCTAGGTCATGGTTCTGCTGCCGCCAGCTGAGCCACCCAGGCAAGACGACACTTGTTCCTGAAACACGGACGCGAAGAAGAGAGGTTCCGTCATTAAGGCGTTGCCAAATTGGACGTATCGCAGGTACATCTTCCCACTAACGGTGTCGATAAGGCGCTCTTCGCTCTGCAAGATTTCCCTCTCTCGCTGCTGTTGGAAGGTTGGTTTACCGGGGCCTGCCAGAACAGCTGTTATATCATCTTTCTTTTCATTTTCTCCTTGGACTCCAGCGTTTCTCGCGTCCACTTCGTTCTGCTGGGCCGCTGGAGAGTTATCTTGGACTTCAACGGTCATCTTCGACTTTTTAGACGAGGCCGGGGTTGAGTCTCTCTTACCACTGATGACCTTACATAGGCACTGAATGAACCATTCAGACAGGGCATTCTGCTCATCAACTGCCCGTAGACAGCTCAAAGCCTTTAGTACACTATTAGAACTACAAAATCCAGCGTAACGTAACTCAACAGTCCCTACGCCAGAGACAATCCGTCTGAAAGTCAAGACAACCAAGTATACCGAACATACCTATGTAGTGTGTACATGGGTGTGGATGTATGGCACGTTCAATCAGTCGATGTTGTGTTCTCTTACCGGTGTTTGCCAGAAAAGGGCAAATGTGGACTTGTATATGGTAGCCTGGAAGAACCAGGAGGCCGGGCATATCCTCTTTCTGGACTGTAGCGTATATTGCGATTGGGCGGTTCTCCCAATCTGATATCGCCCGTGTACGTAGGACAACGGTGCGCTGCTCGGTCCGAACCGGAGAAGTGAAAAAGTCCGAACTGACATAGTATTTAGGACGAAAAGATGTCAATGCAAGCGCAGGCTCTGGCTTTTACTGGGTGTGATCTAATCTAATCTGATCTGATGGATCAAATTGATGTGTCCCACCGGGTGGGCTTTCGCTTGCGGGGTGCCACACTGCATGAAATATGATAGGTCTCGTTCAGAGTGGGTTGTCAGCTTACTGCGTAATTAGTCGATAGCCACACAGTTCGAGTCGGTGACTACTCGCACTGGACAGCTCCTCTTCTTCTTCGTATTCTGCCCCTCCCTCGTAATTAATATGCAGAAAGGTTCATCAGAGGCTATGCTTAGTTGTTGATTGGAATGTTCTCAGTGCTATCTATTGTAGAGTAAGAAAGTGCGTGAAGTACGTCACAATCCTGTGGATTACCTATCATCCACTAATCACTCGTCACTCGTCATCCAGACTAGGGAAAACATAGTTAGCAATGCCAGTCAAGTAATAAGGAAAGGGGATTGACTAACATGTCTCGCTTCATAAAACGAGCGGCGGCAGCATCGTACGCCGGCTCAGTCATGATGTAGTCTTTGATGACACTCGTACCATTCCGGAGAGCAGCCACTTGCTCCTCGGTACACGTGCTTGGGTCCAGCACGTAGCAGAAGTCCTCATACTGCGGCGGGACCTCATTCCTGATCGCAAAGGTGTCCGACGGGCCTTGAGTGCTGTAATTCGAGTTCAATGCGGTGTCTACCTTGCCAGTCGCGACGTCAAGGTTGAACAAGGCACGGTTGAAGATTTGATACGCGGACTCTGGCTGGTACGCAGGTACCGCATGGCCTGCTTGGTAGACTCTGATGAAAGACAGATTCCCGTACTGACGAACTTGACCGCCTTCGTAGGTCTCATTTGTGAGAAGAGGCTGATACCCCGCCTTGGCGAAGTTCTCCTGATCGGCCCATGGGATGGCGAGAGACACTTGCTCTCCACCGATCCAGTTACAAGCAAAGTCGCGATCACCGAACATCAAAGACACCTTGATGCCGCTATGTAGCAAGTATGCAATGTCCTCAATCCAGCCCGGACGCGGGTAGTCTCCGATGCCACGGAAAGCAGACGACGAAGCGCTGGAACTACCGGTCCAATTCAGAGGCACACCGAGAGCGGTTTGGATGTGCGGCTGGTTGAGATATCCGGCGGTGAAAGGTGCCGGGAAGAGTGTTGGGTCGATCTGGGTCACGTCGTAGTAATCACGGCCAGAGACGTCGAGGTAAGGGTCGCGGACGTTGTTTGTGCAGAATGTTTCTGCGTCTTGGCAGATGGCGTTTACGCTGGCGTTCGTGCCGATATTCTCGGGGTCGTAAGAGGAAGAGACTTCACGACAGGCGTCGATGCGGTCGCGGCAGCCGCCTTCACGGTAGTATGCGTCCACCATGCCAGCATATACCGTCTCATTGACTGTTTTGATTCCATAGGTGTTGTTGAAGGCCATCTCAGGGTACGAAGGCCACTGAACCTGACGATCGATGCAGCCGTTCACGATAAGCAAGGTGTCAAGATTGAGGATGTACTGCTCCCCTTCGGTTCCGTCCCACGTCCCATTCTGAATCTTCTCATTTTGTTCCTGGAAGTATGCAGCAAAAGCAGGTCCGTAGCGTCCGCCATACGATTGGGTGGCAATGCTGATGCGGTCGTTGTTCGGGTGGTAGCCTGGAAACTCCTGGAACCAGACCTGCGAGAAATGCCAAAGTGCAATGGCGGCGTTGCGGCTGCCCCAGGATGTGGTGTTGCGGTTGTCGACTGGGAGAGTGCCCGTTTGGAACGTCACGTTTTGGGCTGGGATCGGGGAAGATGCATTCAGGGTTTGAGTGCTTCCAAAGAGGTTGCGGGTCACGTTGCGGAGAGTGTTGTAGGAGAAGCCGACTTGGACAGGTTGGTCGATGTAGAGCATGTTGACTTTCTCAGATTAGCCACGCATACGAATCAAAGATTTTCAGAGTACGCATACCGTGGTTGTTCCATGACCATTCGCTGGGTCGCGTGGAGTTGGAGTCATTGTTGATGTAGCACGGCCCGTTCTCGTTGAACAGCCCCGGCATTGACGAGCTGCCCGGTCCACCGTTCATCCAGATTGAAAGTGGCGCATTTTCCGGATCTTCTTTGGCCTCGAAGAACCAGAAAAATGTGTTGATCTCGTAGTCTTGCTCTTGACCCACTCCCTCGAGAGTTCCGGGAGGGAGGTGAATGTAGCCGGCGTATGTCTTGACACCCTCGGTTTCCTCACAGAGATTGGGCTACGGTCGTTAGGTGTTGTCCAAAAAGACGGGGTCAGAGCGAATACCTCTTTGTAGGATATCGTGATGTTTTCGTCAAACTTGGACTTGAGGACTGTGACTCCTTCAGGCGTCGGCGGGAATTGGGCTAGCGAAGACTGGATCAAAGCTGTCGCAACGGCGACAACCGAGAAAGATTTCCGCATCCTGTCGACGATGCTCAAGCTATGGTCGGCTTCAGATCCAAGAAAAAGAGATTGCAAGATCTTCCTGGCGCGGCATCTGGGGGAGGACGAGCAATCGATATATGTCATTAACTCTGATTTTCCCCGCTCGTGTTGATTTCTGACCTTCCTACTTCGGCGCTTGGTGCTCAATGATTCACCATCATCGTGCGCTTATGTACGGAGGTTGCACCGCCAAGGAAGTCGTATCAAGCTTGCCCGGAAGCCGATTCAGTTTTCTGGTGAGAGGGGCAGGGGATGGGTGCGGGGTCGCTAGGAGACCCGGAGGAGGCCAAGACTCGGCTGCGGGATGCGTTGAGTTGGCGGATGAACTGGTCAATGGGAGTGATTGCTCGAAGCTTTATTCCCGCTTTGAATGCACCGCTGGGACAAAAAGTCCATATCAAACATCCTGCTCATCCGGGTGCTGGTGATCCTCATGGTGCATCATGGTGAACCTTGTGTACAGCCGATAATTGAATACACGACAACGACGACAACGACAGCAGCTGCGACAACGATCATCATAGCGATAACAACAAAACAGAAGCTTCAATCATCGCGACGACAATATTCAGGATGATTGGACAGCCGATGATCAAGGCACCAAGAACAATAATCTGAAATAACAGATAAGACGAGTAAGGAGTACTCCGTCCGGCTAAGTGGAAGCATCCGTTCGGATAGCACTCCCTAACTTCAGACAAGACAGCCGCACTCGCGTTCAATGATGATTCGCATGAAAAGCCAAGATCTTATGAAGTTCAGATCATCACTTTGAAAGAATAGCTGGCACTGAGGTTGGAGTCCTTGCGTTTCAGTTATCATCCGGACTCAGCTCCGAACGGCCCGAGCCAGAGTGGATTTCGACCGGGACCGGTAGGTGGGGAACCCCCCGCTCGGGTCGGGGCCGGCATGGGAGGTGGATCGGCACGCAAAGCTTGAGGCTTACTCATACGCAAGGTCCTACGTGCGGAGGTCTCGGCGTCTGCCTCACTTTTGCCGATATTGTCGTCGGGATCCGGGACCAGATTGGCCTGTGATTGCGACATACCTGGGGGAATGACGCCGCCGAATCGCGTTTCAGGGTTCCCCGCAAAGCCGGAACACAACGAAGATGACGCCTTTCCAGCTCGGGATGGCAAACAGCTGGAAGCGCACCACGACCACTGAGAGGCATGGTGTTGATCGTCAACTATATGTGAAAGCATCCTTCCTGACAAATGCAATATTGAATAATGGCGCGGTGATTGGCCCGCTGAGATGTTGTTGGGGAATTTTATGTACACTTGACCTCGGATGCGCATGCCGTCTCGAATCGTGATTCGATTGTCCCCACTAACGGATGTTTGAGTCAACATTAGGGCGTTTTTGACCTCGTGAGGACGATGATATAAACGTGTAAAAGCCGGCCTTCGAATTTACTACGATCTCATCAAGCAAACCTCTCAGACCATCATCGAAATGGCCGCCGCTGCAGTTCAAGCTCCTCTCCTCGCAGGACCTCCTGGTCAACCGGACATTGGCTACGCGCCTAACCACGACAACTACCTGGCAAGGATTCAGCGCCGTCATGAGCAAGAAAAGCTGAACAATTCTCTCCCCGACGGGTTTCCTCAAAAGTTGGAGGCAAAGCTCGTCTGGGATGGCAACACTTTGGCTGAGACATACGACTGGAACTATGTGTTAACGGATGCCGACAAGAAAGAGGTCGATGAAGCTCTCCAGCACTTCAATTGTATGTGAATAACGCATGTTCGTCAACCTGGACCGTTTGAGTAACTCTCCTTGCAGCACTGAAGAAGCCCCTTGGTGAGATTAACCAGGAGACATTTCCGCTGCCCAACTTGCACAAGACTCTTCGCGCCATCTCCGATGAGGTTCACAACGGCCATGGCTTCAAAGTTGTGCGCGGAGTACCAGTCACCAAGTACAACCGCGAAGAGAATGTGATCATCTACGCCGGAATCTCATCTCATGTCGCACCCATCCGCGGGAGACAAGACACTCAATTCAACGGCGAGCCAGCGGACGTTGTCCTCGCTCACATCAAGGATCTCACCAAGGTCGTTGACGCTCAAAGAATCGGGGCACCCGCATACACCACCGATAAGCAGGTATTTCACACTGACTCGGGTGACGTGATTGCACTTTTCGCCCTTGGTGAGGCTGCTGAGGGCGGTCAGAGCTACCTTTCAAGCAGCTGGTTTGTCTACAACGAGCTCGCTAGAACGCGGCCTGATCTGATCCGTACATTGGCGGAACCTTGGAACGCTGATGAGTATGCAATCCTTTCCTCGTGTGGTCGGCTGTGATACTCACCGCAGATACAGGTTCGGTAAGGACGGTAGGTCGTACAGCACTCGTCCTCTGTTGCACTTCCAACCATCGGAAGGCGACAAGCCGGAACGCTTGATCATTCAATACGCGCGAAGAAGCTTCACCGGATATTGGGGGCTTCCGCGTTCATCTGACATTCCTCCCATCACGGAAGCTCAGGCGGAAGCCCTCGATGCTCTGCACTTTACTGCTGAGAAGTACCGAGTATCCCTTGACTTTCACCAAGGAGACATTCAATATGCGAACAATCTGAGCATCTTCCACGCACGTGGAGGGTTCGTTGACTCTGAAGAAAAGCAGTAAGTCGAAGACCATTAAACGACGCGTCAGCTGAATTAATGCTAACACTTTGGCCAGGCGTCACCTCACACGCTTGTGGCTTCGAGACCCCGAGCACGCATGGAAGACGCCGGATGCGCTGAGGGAGAGATGGGACAGAGTGTATGCTGGAGTAACTGCGGAGAAATCAGTGTTCCCTCTGGAGCCGCAGATTCGCAGTGCTAGTCGAGGTGAATTTAAGCCAGAGAAAGAGGACTCAAAGGCGTAGATAAAGGAAACGTCTCATAGTAGGCCTGGCCAATTGCCTCTTGTCCATTCGGCTGCCACGCGTTTCCTTCGCGCCAGGTGCATCTCCAGTGAGCCAATGAATGAAAGAGGGTCAAAGACAAAGTATCATCCCACGTCAAATGTAATCGAATTGGCAATCACGAAGTAATCTCCTATCTCATGACTCGCTCCATTCAGTATTGCCCATTCATGGCTGATTGAATGCCAGTTGCGAGTTGTAAGCTTGCGCAGCACGATCGCATCTTCCCAGGACCGGATGACGTCGTCACGGCATTGCACCAATTGGGCTTGGCCTCCGCGGCCTGAACCAACTCCGTCTACTTAAGCCGACTGCGACTAAGGGCATCTGCAAGACGTCTGGGAATACATCGGGCCAACCGACACACCATCAACACCTGAGCTAAGACAACCTGCTCCAAACCTTATCATCCCGCCTGTCGTTGGATTGCTACAACTGACCCTACAATTGCGTTATCGGGACCCTGGAACGCACCGTCACAATCCCCCACAGTCCGACGCGAAGATAGCGACCTAGTGCCGACTTCAAGTATCGGTATCAATCAGCATCGCGTCTAGGCGCTGCATTGGTGATTTCGTTCTGGCGTTTCGGGGATGCAGGCACCCTCGACCCCGGGAGATAATGCAAGCTGGCGTAGGCGCATGGGTCTGTGGGTTGGGAGAGCGACCGAGGCCGAGATGGTACCCCGCGGGATGCCATGATGTTGGTGTTTACATAAATATACTGCCATACGATCGTCCAATGTATGAAACCCCTGAGTTCAGTGCGTTCAGCAAGGTCGCCTCCTCCATTTACTTCATCGTTGTTATCTTTCTGCTTTTGACCCCAGATTGGTCACAAGATGTCTTTCCTACGGCGACCGTTCAAAATTCGCGACAATGAAGACAGCGCCGATGCGAACTCGGGCCATGAGTCGGACGTTACTGATGGAAGCCTTCACTATGTCGTCGAGAAAGGCGGAAACGATTCAGGTCCCTCCTACCAGGAGGCAACGGGTGCCCCAGTTGAGAGGAGTTCGCCGTTAGGATATGCTGTCGGGCCCGTCACGATCGTCTTTCTCAATGTGAGCAAAATGATTGGGACTGGTGTCTACTCAACTCGTGTATTACGGATATCCTCTTCTTGACATATGCACTGACAAGCCGCAGCTTCCGCCATCCTCAAGGGTACTGGTTCAGTCGGGCTGAGTATGATCTACTGGGCCCTGGGATTCCTGACTTCAATCGCCTCCTTTTCCGTATATCTTGAATTCGCTTCGTACTTCCCAAACAAATCCGGCTCCGAGGTAGTGTATCTGGAACAGGCATATCCGCGACCGAAGTGGTTGTTTCCCACGGCGTTCGCCTTCCAGTCTGTGGCACTGTCTTTCAGCAGTGGCAATGCTATCGGTAGCCAGCCGTATCCTTATCTCTTGTATCTCGTTGCTAATTCAATTTTGTCCTTTCTCAGTATCTGTTCAAAGTAGCAGGGTCGACTCCAGGGCCCTGGCAGTTGAAGGGTGTGGCGGTGGCTGGGTACACTGTCGCCACATTAGGTGAGCTCACCTCGCAAATCTGAAGCAAGATCTTTCTCAACTTACTGACTGGGTCCTCCCAGTTGTTGCCCTACACAACAACTTCGCTTACCAGTTCTCCAATGGAGTCGGTGCAGTCAAGCTGTTGACGCTAGTCTTCATCGCCATTACTGGATTGGTTGTACTAGGAGGCCACACCAAAGTCCCTGAGCCGCATGCAAACTTTGAGAACTCATTCGATGGTCAAGCGACAGCTTACGGCTTGACAAATGCTCTTTACAGAATCATTTTCTCGTATGCCGGTTTCGAGAACGCCTTCAACGTTGTGAATGAGGTTAAAGTAAGTCTGATAATGATTGGGCAGTTTGATATCGGTCTCTGTGTCAGTACAAAACGCTGACAGGATAACGTTCAGAACCCGGTGAAACAAATCAGGAAATACGGATGGATTTCTCTTGGCATTGTGACTGTCCTCTACATCTTGGCCAACATTGCCTATTTCGCAGCCGGTACGTCTTGGCCAATACACTTTTGCTGACTTCAGGCGATACTTACTCACTTTGGACAGTACCAGAAGCGGACTTGGCAGCAGCCGAACAGATCGCAGCAAGTCTATTCTTCACCAATGTTTTCGGTTCCAGCGGTGCGGTTAGAGGGCCCAATTTCCTCATTGCATTGAGCTCCTTCGGCAATCTCCTGACGGTGCTAATCGTATCTTCTCGAATGCTACGAGAATGTGGAAGGTATGGTGAATATGAGCATTTTATAGAAGATCATACTGATAGAGCCTTTTTTTCAGACAGGGTGTTCTGCCCTATCCCCGGTTCTGGGCATCAACAAGACCTTTCGGCACGACCCTGGGTCCTTATCTCGTCAAATACATCTTGACTATTATCATGATTGTCGCTCCCCCCGCCGGCGACGCTTTCAACTTTAGTATGCTTCATTCATCGCTACTCATGCTTTTGAGAGCTTGGGAACTAACATAAATCCAGTCGCCGATCTCCAGGTCTATCCTTCCGCCTTCTTTGGCTTTGTCATGTCAGTGGGGCTATACGTGGTCCGCTGGCGTCGCAGTCGCCTCAATCTTCCTCCGCCTGAGTTCAAAGCATGGGACGTCATTATCATCTTCAACATCGCAAAGGACTTATATCTCCTCATCATGCCTTGGTACCCCCCTGAGGGTGGCGTGTTCGCCGGCGATGTGAGCTTCTGGTATGCCACATACGTCGTTGCCGGCATCGGCATGTGAGTTGGCCCCAGGAAAACCGGCATTGATGAAGAACTCGAACTGACAACAATTATTAGTCTTCTTGGCTGTGGTGTGTACTACTGGCTTTGGATCTACGTGGTCCCGAAAGCGAGGGGCTACCGTATCAGGCAGCAGGTCTTGGAGCTGGCCGACGGCGCTCAGAGTCACAAGCTTGTCAAAGTCCCGGTTGCCGACTTAGCTGAATGGGATGCCACGCACGATCATGTTGGACGGCCGCTGCAACAAGTTGCAAGTGTTCCAGGATCCGAGGAAGAAAAGAAGCCAGTAGCTGTGTGAGGTTTGAAGGATTCAGGAGCAATAATCAGCAATCGGCTATGGTGGCGGGAGATAGATAGTTGTTCATGTCGGTCAGCATTTAGCCACCCATCCATCGACAGTTACGTTTCCTATGATCTATTAAGCTAAACCATGGAGGAAATAAGAATGAGGCAGCCAAATAAGACGTCATGATCCAACCTTGGTAGGTGTCTTGATTGCCGCAGGTGCCATTACTATCACCACAATTTTGTCGTGATCCTTGAGTAGAGGGTCTGCGACGAAACTTCTATTAGGTCATGATTAGATTCTTGGTTTGCAGTATTGACGTAGTATCTAGTTGCCAACTCAACGTCCCAGACGCACTCTCCGATCTCTGCCAGTATTAAATTCATGCCTTGCAGGTGTTGCAGTTAGCCCGAGTCCAATCGTATCTCCAGTTCTCGTCCTTCTTGCTCTGATCCATCACGCCATAGCTGATATCCATGCAGCATGCCAGCTGCGCTCCATTGCAGGTGTAGCCCGGCCAGGAGGTGGTGCACGTGGAAATAGCGCTAGCGGCGAAGAAGACAGCAGCGATGGCCGCGGCGAAGCCTGTGATCTGCATGGTAGGCTAGGTTTTGGTCTAGTCACCAACTTAGTCAAAGCTTGTTTGGACAAGAACTTGTCATTGCACCTACAGTGACAATTGCGATATAAACTATGTATAATATGGTTCGCGATTTGGTTGATTTGGCAAAGAATGATGGTGGTTGTAGGAAGATTATTTGACTTAAGGTTCTGGCGCACCCTTTATAGTTCGGTCAGTTATGCCGGCCAAGGCGAGAACAATTTGTGTGTAGAACTTCTAATCTATCTCAAATGATAGTGGATTGTTCTATAGTATGATTGTGTCGGAACTCAGGAGTAATTCGTATTTTAGAGTTATCCCGCCGGCCGAGAAATCATAGCAGCGGGCTAGAACCATCTCCCGTCGGTTGGCCCATGACTCTGATCCTGGGAAGTGCTGGTCAGCCTGTGGATACAGAAGATATGAACGGATTGTCTCCCGTTGTGAGGTTAGTATTCTACTCTTTGCTTGAGCCGAACACTCTCTGACTTGGCCGTCGGAAGGAACCCGTCACGCAACACGTGTGGTTTACTATCGTAAGTCAACTCCACTTCTTATATCCGAGCTGTCCACAGCAGTCGAAATGCTGCACGTCCTCATAAGCCAATATTGGGTCCACTCGACAAGCCACAAGAGTTCCACAAAGCTAGCTAGATGTGCCAAGAACGATGGAAAAGACCGCCAGTCAAGCCGCCTAAAACTTAGCGCCGTTTTCCAAGAACACTGAGAAGCAAAGCGAAGTGACACAACAATACATGACGAATACATGCGGATTCGCAGTATGTATGTCGTTCATGACGACCTCGAACACCATCTATCTCTCCTTGTTCTTCATCCAAATGAAGCTCGAAAGAGCTCGGCAGCAACCTAAGCTTCTCAACGACATCTCTTGACAGTACCATTTGATCGATGGAAGGATGCCTGAGAAACAGTGAGCGATTGAGAATGAAGCTGACCATTCTGGGCAGCATATTGCCTATGTAAATAGTCTCCTCCTTCGAATAACCAGATGCCTCAGCTCAGTGGCGCTAATTGTGGCCACTCGAGCTCGGGCCAAACGCAGCCATTGTGATTCACATGCTCACGACGCAGACCAAACCTGGACAATCTCTGCCATGGGTGAGGGCCAACTCGGATCTCTGTTTTTGACCTCTAAGAAAAATACACCAAAGTGATCGAGATTGAGAATGAGGGAATGTCTCTTGCGAATATTTTTCAAGCACACCTGTGGGGCCCTAGGAAATCCCTGGAGCCCTGGCGTTTGGAGGAATGCTCCGAGTTTGATATCTTGGTCGCGCTGATTCGAAGGGAAGTTCGTCTCGTGGACGGTTGACGACCTATGCTCACATTCCGTCCGTGAGGAATGGACTCGAGCATCTGATCTCGGGAGCAATCACTCTCTGGAAAGGTATTGCATGTTGAGTAATTGAGCCCACTCTTCGTCTTGCTAATTGCCGTACCCACTACTTATGTCTGCCACTACTTACGTCGTGAGAAACTGACAGTTGGGGGCGGTTATCTGATCCGGACCTGGAAATGGTATCTTGCAATCTATGCAACTGAACTCCGTTTGCGCCCTCGGATTACTAGATGATCTTTTCATCCATGCCACCGTCTCGGGGGGGTATTAGTACTGGAAACGCCATCTAGGGTCTTTGTCGCCAGGCCAGTCGCTCAAGTCTCCAATAGCATTGACTTCCTCCGCAATCGCTTCGCGCCTCTTGTTTTCTCCCTTGAGAACGAAGTACAAGACAGCACAAACCGCAATGTTGGCGATCAGGTATGCCAAAGCCAGAGAGTGACCGACAATGTACCGCGGGCCATCATTTGAGCGATACAGCTGAGTGCCCATCACCGCGCCGAGGTTGCCAATGGTGATCTGCATGGCATTGCCCACGGCGCGCTTGGTCTGGCCAGAGACGTTGATGGCAGGCCATGAGAGGACCAGGGCAGTAGCAGGGTAAATGCCACCGGCGGCAAAGAAGGTTCCGAGGTATGACACACCAGGCTTCCCCGCGGGGTCGGTGTTGGCAAGGAGGATGATGTAGCCGATGGCTGCGAAAGCGGAGGATCCCATGATGAAGAACGCTCTGCGACCGGTTCGTTCGGAGTAGATTGCGACGGTCAATGTCGTAGCAAAGGCAAGAGCGTAAGGTGGAATCGTGAGCAACTGCGCCTTCGCAGCAGTGTATCCGAGGTTCTTGATAATGGTAGGCTAGATATGTCAGCTTGTATCGCTCAGCATGTGTACATTCATGACCTAGCACTCACCAAAAACAGAGAAAATGTGTAGAGGGGCAGGCTCATGGTGTGAAAGCCCAGACCGTACAACCAACACTTCGGGTCCTTCAGAGCGTCCAACACGTAGGCCCACGTGAAGCGCTCATCGTGAGTGGCATCGCTATCGGCAGCCAGTCGGGCGCGGATGAAACGACGCTCCTTGTCAGAGACGAATTGAGCAGTGTCGGGGTAGTTCTGGATGAACCAATACGCGGCGACGGCAATGAGGACGGTAGCAATACCTTCCTGGTCACAGAATTAGTGTCATGGAGGTGCCAGGTGAAGTTGAGTACGAACCAAAATGAAGATCCATCGCCAACCATTGGCCCACACAATTCCTTTCATGTGTCCGATGCCCTGAGTCTTGTTAGCAAGCTGATTGATTGGTGATGATGTCGAAATACTTACCCATGCGAGGATACCACCGAAAGCACCTGCAAGAGAAGCAGCACTGAAGAAGAGGGAAATGCGATATTGCCGCTCGCGACGCCGATACCACATGGAAAAGTAGAAGACAACTCCAGGGAAAAGACCACTTTCCGTAACGCCAAGGAAGAACCTAGCGACAAAGAAACCGGCCATGTTGGTGCAGATACCCATCAGAGTAGCAACAACACCCCAAGCAATGGTGAGAGTGGGAAGCCAGAAGCGAGGGGTCGTTCTCTTCAGGATGATGTTGCATGGGATCTAATTGGAGGTCAGAGACATGCGTCGGTAGTTTTCCAAGTCTTGAAAACGACTGTTGACCTACTTCGAAAAGAACATATCCGATGAAGTACAGGGTGAGACCGGTGAGATACTCATTTCCAGCTGGTGAGGGTCAGCTGGCCATTATACTTCAAACGACACCGTGTCTTGCGAGCTCCGAACTCACTCATGTGCAGGTCGTCGGTGAGACCCTCGATTCTTGCGTTACCAACTGCTCTTGCATCAGCACTTACGTCTCTCGAAATACTCTCACGATGGCTCACCGTTGGATCGGTCGAGGAAAGAAAGCAGGTATAGGATTCCGACCGCAGGCAGAAGCTTTGCGTCCAGCTTCCGTAGCAATGCCTTCTCGTTCACTGCCTCCTCTCCAATCTCGATCTCTGAAGGACTCTCCGCTCCGCTAGACTCGTTCAGTGGCGCCTCTGACGCCTTCTCGGGCGCGAGGTCCGGCTTCACCGCGCTCATCCTGAATGTCGCGCAAGAGCCTCGTTCTATTCGACGATTGTTCTTTGATGTTGTTTCCTGAGGAAAATCTGTACGTAAAAACCTTCTCTCGGTCGCGACCTCAGCCGTGCATCCACCTGAAGTCGATTTTGACGCGGGTTATGTGTTGGGTGAAAACTCTATGGTCACGCGCACGGCTTTTCAATGCGGACCCAAACGGATGTGAAGAGACCAGACGGCCGGGTTCAAATCTCTGCAGGTAATTAAGACATAAGATTGGCGAGGGAAAAGGACCTTGAATTGGGGGCCTCGCTCCTCCTCAGCTGGGTGTCATTGTGTCGAAGCTACGCGTATCTGGGAGCATTTCTCACTGCCGTTTCCCTGGGTACGCATGGCATCATCGGTCCATGATGACATTTACGGCTCCTCATTCCAATTTCATCTTAGCTACCGTTGCAGATTGTCGGCGTCGAGTGGATTACGCGATCGGTGGTGGATGATGAAACACAATTTCTGCTGGTCGTGATTGGCTATTGGCCCTTCAAGGTCGGATCACGACATGTTGAAGCCGATGGCGACATCGTCGAACTGGGGCTTTTCCCCCAACTTTCTCCAACAACCCCCCAATTGTCGCTCTGTGATAAATAACACAGTTCGCTTGGCAAACTTCGAGGTGAACCCCCACGTGTCTTTGAATGAGCTAACAAAATCTTGTTTCTCCGCGCGGCTGGATCTGACACCTGCAAGTGCCGGCGAACGGTTTGTGCGGGCGAACATGAGGCCGAGAAGAAAGCCGACCGACCGTGATGCGGTCCCACTCCGAAACTCCGATGCCGCATTTGTCCCCACATATATCCGATGTACCCACAGTTGCGCATCGGAGCAACACGGACGATCGGCAAACGCCCAAAGACCGTCATTCATACGGAGACACTCAATGCACAAAAGTCTCGGTGTTTAGTTCTTCATCGAACTCAATCAGTATATCACGTTCACTAACTGCTAATGCAATCGGGATCGCCCAGATGCATCTCAATCAGGAAAAGATTCATCTGCAGGCCCACGAGCGTTTAAGTCCGATCACCAAAACCCATTTCAAGTGAAATGAACCCGAAAGTAGCGGGAGGCTCGCAAATCATTGGCGAAGAACATTCACAAAGGCAAAAGGCAAAAGAGAAAACAAATTTCCCATCCCCGAACAATTTTATAATATTTCCTACTATACACTAACTATCCTTTTTTTGTCCTTTTCGAAAACCCTTTAAGAAATAAAAGCAAATGAACGACCTTCTATGCAAATAGTGAAAGATAACAGGCTAAGCGAGTGTTTGAACCAAGACCAACCAAGGAAACCATTCAGTCATCACAAGCGTCTGGTGTACAATCCCCCAAGCTCAAACTCGCATCCTCGATGAGTTTGGCTTCGCTCAGAGTTGAGCAGCAGTCGTAGGCAAAGCCATGAACAAGGAAACCGCCATGTGTCCCCCGATCAGATCAGAGACCTGTGCGAGAGAGTAGCGGTCTCTCGGAGTTGGCGATGCATTTAGCAGGCGGTGTCGAAAGCGACGAAGGTCTGGCCGTTGGTGGGGGCAGGGAGCTGAGCAGCGGGAACGTTGAAGAGGCGGCACTGGACGGGCTCGTTGGCGGAGGGCTTGCCGAACTCAACAGCCTGGCAGCCAGAGGTCTGCTTGCAGAGAGCAAGGCAGGCGTCCTGGGTGGCGATGTCGGAGCGGGTGACCAGAGGGTTGGGGGCGCTGGTAGCAGGGCCGGTGGGGGCGGCGCCGCAGACGTTGCGCTTCTTGGGCTGCTCAATCTGGCCGTTGTTACCAGTCTGGCCGTTGTTGGCAGCCTGACCGTTGTTGTTGTTGGCCTGGCCGTTGTTGTTGTTGTTGCCGGCGCCGTTGTTGTTGTTCTGGGTGGGGGCGGCGGTAGGGACGCCAGTGCAAGCCTTATCGAAGACCATCAGGTTAGAGTTGCTCTGGGGAGGCACCTGAGCAGCCGGGACGGCGTAGAGGTAGCAGAGGGGAGTAGTGCCGGTGGGGGGAAGGCCGAAGACGAAAGACTGGCAGCCGGAGTCAGCCTCGCAAAGCTTCTGGCAGGCGTCGGCGTTGGCCGCGGCAGGCTGGGAGCGAGGCTGGACGTCAGCGTTGACGGGGCCAGCAGGCGCGCTGTTGCAGGTGTTGGCGCGGATGGCGAGGGGGCCGGCCTGGGCAGCGGCGGCGAAGGCAACAATGGTGGCGATGGTGAACTGCATTTTGACTGTTGGGTGGGTGTTTAAAGAAAACTGGAAAGTTGACTGAAAGATGAGCGAAAGAGTGATGATTGCTGAAAGAGCGAGTTAAGAGAGAGAGAAAGAGAGAGAGTAGGAAAGATGCTTGTGAAAGACTGTTGATTGGATTGATTGTTGGTGGTGAGGAAAGAAAAGGTTGTGATTTCGGGGCGACGAAGGCATTCTTTTATATTCGTCGTGAGCAAGTATTTCGGCTCCTATTCCCACCACTTCCGCAGCATATCGACTGACGATCTACGCAGAATGGACGTTTCGATGGAGATGGAATCTTACGACGCGCGTCTCAACACCGCCAGCCTTCGGCACAAGTGGGCGGAGAACATGATCGACATCACGGATGTCAAGCGGTGAACTTGAGGTCTTCGTCACGGGCCTCACTGCTTGCAGGGAGTTGGGCGCTGTGCGATGCCGCTGAGGCCGCCCCCAACCACTTAGATGGCACTTTCCATCTGATGTTTGACGTTTCATCATTCGCTTGACGTCTACAGCCTCAGCGGGACAGTTGGGATACTCCCGCGAAGTGGGAGAAAGTCCTGGAAAGTTTCAAGGGTTCATCCGGCATATTCATGCGATGAAGCAACAATTCTCCTATGCGTTTCCGTCTGTGGCTGGAAAAACACCCGATCAACCTGTAACATTCAAGCTTCGATTCGAGAAGCTGAGATTGATACTCTGGGGCAAGACCGACTTCGGCACTGGCATGATGCTTCCAGGCTTTTTCCGATATTCTCTCATACTTCCCCACGTTTTCCTGCTATTATTGGCAGTTGTCTACCAATGAACTGACTTGCAGCGCAGTTTCCGTGAGGGAGTTTCGGTACGTAACAAGCGAGTGACATTCCAATCGATAGTCAGACATCTTACGTTACCCGCTTCTGTGGCACGGGGAATTTGAAGCTTACTGCATAGTAAGAAAGCCAAGCATGAGGCTCACGGCTAAACTGGCCCTGCCGGGCTGCCGGCTACGGGGCGCCGCTTGGCTTTCATTGGCAAACATGTCTGGGGACGTGCAATAGACTGGGATACCCTTGTTCTGTTTCCGCCCAAGCTTTGCGGCTCCCGACGCCTGTTCCCCCACATTCCAGAACGATTCCATCGCCCAGCCAATCCCAACGTTCAGGGGTAACGGTCAGGGGTTGCGTTTTTTTATTTTCTTGACAACTCTTTTCCCCTGAACAGCCTCTGCGACGTGGGTATCCTTCAAGTGATGTGGGCTTACGTTCTCATCCATTCGCGGACCTCTGCCCTAACCGAGCCTACTGAGACATGTTGGCCGCGGGGGAGAAGCCATATCGAGCCAAACAGTAGCAAGCCGCAGCAGCGCACAAACATTCCGAAAATATGCTTGCAATCTCCCCTAACTCTTTTGAAGTTAGGGCATAGCCATTAAGGCGGGGAAACTTCAGCAGTGCAGCCCTGCCTATAGCGGAGAAACAACTCTGTCTGTTATTAAGACGTGGGCCGCAGTCGTGAGGCTGAGCTTCCAAAGTCTGACCATCTCCTATTTCGGCGACTCGTGACCGGTGGTCATTGGCTCAAATGCAGAGGTGACGAGTCCACCATGGGGGGGCATTGGGGGCTGAATTCTTCTTCAAGCCGAGCGGGTGAGCGGCATGCACGCACACGTGGAAAATGGTGAGTAGAGTTGAGTTGGGAAATTAGCATCGTGAGGGGTTGACTTTGTGCGTCGTCACCAAAGTAAAAATAGGCCCTCGGTTAAACACAATTGTCGGGCCGTGTGGTAAATGTGGTCTCTCATCGTGAGGGTTCATTGTTGTAAAGGGTTGTAAAGGCAGATGAGGATCATCGCCGATTTCCACATTGGGATCCGGGGGCTTACGAATTCGGATGATGCGAGTCGCGCAACAACAAACCTTCGATGGAGAGAACAACACCGCATTTGCAATTGTCGACTTGTTGTTGACTGATGATCAATGGCTTGCGTATTTTGACAATGATGAGCCCTCGAGTTCTGTTCCGTCACCACGGATATCACGGGATGTTTGAGCTACAGACCGCTACATCGTCAGTTACGTGGAAGCCGCGTCGACCTAAACCAATGATACCGTACTTTGACCATATAAGAGCATGTTATAGGCGAACTAGTGATGTTACGGTCAGCTATCCGACAGTAGGGTCTGCTAACAGAAGTTGGGGATTGACGTTTAAACAGTACACTGGGGTCGTGGTCGTAGGTCGTAGGTCGTAGGCTGTAGTAGATCAAGTCTTCAGAGGCTAAGGTGATCAGT